AGGTATATTTGTCGTGTGTGTGTGTGTGTGTGTGTGTGTGTAGAAAGGATTTTACATTCATTGCAATTTAGGTTAATCCCTAGCTAATTATTTTCATATTTAAAAACAAATTATTACTGATATCGCCTACATTTTACTAACTTAAATCATTCAAGTTTTGAGGTTTGGGTTCAGTTTTCTTTTGAATTGTCCTCTTCTACGATCTTCTGAGTGTCCGGCCAATTAAATATTTATATTATGGATACTGGAAAGCCAGAATATAAATCCCTAACCTTCTAACTTATTGCTTCATTGAGATATAACAAAGAAAAAATCAAACCCACATGTGAAGCCCCTCCTATCTCATTCTATCTTTCAAAACAATATGTCAGTAATTCTCTCTTACATTTGCTACTGGATTATTTATAACCAATAGAAAAATCATGTTGCTCTTTACAAGGTTTGTTAGAAGGCTAAATTGATTTGGTGCTCCTTATCAGATAATTCACCCTTATTTCAATTTTTTATGTTTTTTTTGCTCCAAGGAAGAAAGTGAATTTGTTTTCACCTATTTATTGCTTAGTTAAATTATAGTGGATTTAGGACATTCTGTTGCCTTATGTTTGTTTGTGTTCTAAAATATATATTTGAAAGCTCCATGAAAAAAATTTAGGTCTAGTTCAGTTATGGTTCGCTTTCACAAAGATCATGTACTTCACTTATGGAGTTTATGATCCATGACTAATTAACCTCCTCCTGTGTTTATTGTTTTTGACAGGAGGATTAGTGTTCAAGTAGAAACTTAATAAAATAATAAATTTACACAAAACAGATATGAAAAGGTTGACAGTTGAAACCTTGAAGATAAGAACTACAGGAAACATTATACATCAAAAGTAGAACAACAAAAACGTATTACTAATTTTATTTCATCATTTTCAAGTTTTCATTTCATTGTAAATTGATCATGATTGACAATTTCACTAGTGTTAGGATTGACAAAATAGCATATAAAATGTAAAGTTTTATCAAAACAAAACAAACTTTTAATAATCATTTATCAACTCTTTCTTATGCTTATAAACCATTGTTTGCCTATCTATTATTCCAATTATTTGTATATGTAAAACATTAATCACATAATATTTCAGCCCTATAAATGTAAAAATGAATGCCATGGTTAATATACTGCAAGACAATAAACAAGAATATCTCTGACTTTCAGTCATGTCATGGTTAACATTCTTGTTTATTGTTTTGCAGTATAGAGAATATCTCTGACTTTCAATGGGACATTACTCATCAATCACAAGTGTCATTGTCAAAGACCAGATACTTGAGAAATATTTAAAAATATATCAAACAAGAGTGTCAACAGTAGAAATTGAAAGAAAATGCACCTGCCAGCAAGACAAACTGTGGCCACCAACGTTTGGAGATAGACTAAGAGGAGAGATGTCTCATCAAACGTGCAGATATACGTGTTACACTGTGGCTGATTCCTACAACAGTGACCAGGATTTGACTAATCCCATATTAAGATGTTGCAAAAAATTATTATATGGCAGCCAAAAAACAAGCTTAAAAATCACTTATCTCGGAGAATGCACAATTTCAGTGGTGCTTGGAGTAAGAACTGTGGATAGTAAATAACAATAAGCATGCGATATAGTCTAATGAACCATTTTCCTTTTTAGCATTTATGACAGAATAAAATGTATGTTGGTATAAAAAGGGACCTGACCGTGTTCTGTGTACTCTGACTTTGCAAGCTTCTAGATTCAGTGCAACAGTATAAGAATATTCTTGTATTATGGGTTAGATCTTTTGACTTCTTTTGAAAGGGGATTTAATAACAAACTTTAACCCTATTTGGATGAGTTTGGGTCAAAATGTGCGAGCCATGACCTTTTTCAGAGTTTCTTTCAACATGGTTTTATGTATTTGATGTCAAGTCATCCACTATTCATTTTACTCTACATTACTGATTTAGTGACAGATCACGGTAAAGTAAATACCAAATACAAGGATATTTAAAAAAACCTATAGATGTTGATTTCAATGTGTATTACATATAAGTACAACCATTCATTCTGGACATTAATAAAATGATTTATTGATCCCAAAGAGATAATCACTTCCTTACCTATGTTAAACGGAACTGGGCAAATCCATAAAGGTAATGAACAGCCAACCAACAGATAAATATGAGTCAGTATTAAAGGACCTGAATCCTTTTCATCAAGGAACACAGAAAAAGCTGTTTGCACTGCCTCACCAATTGGAGGAATCTTGAAAAGTCTGATGATCTGAAATGATTTAAGATAACCTAAGACTGTCATTTTTTTATAGCAAATTAAACTTTTAATGCTGAAAATCCTCTGTCTCACAGATATATTCACCTGCTGCTAATCCAGATCATACATACTCAGAAACAAAAATGGTTAGTAGTAATTTAAATATACAAACGTTTACAACTGATCAATTCATCTATATAGATCTCTCTTTCAGACTAACTAAGGTTCACCTTTGCTGTCAAGAAACTGATGTTAAGGTAAAAATAATACTAAAGTTGTTGAAACAAGTTAGCTCTTTAAGCATAACAAATATGTTTCAGTGCAGAGTTTAACATCAGTGAAAGTTTAATTCAGATGAAATATGTTTCAGTGCAGAGTTTTAACATTAGTGAAAGTTTAATTCAGATGAAATACGTTTCAGTGCAGAGTTTTAACATTAGTGAAAGTTTAATTCAGATGAAATACGTTTCAGTGCAGAGTTTTAACATTAGTGAAAGTTTAATTCAGATGATTTCTTTTTTTATAATTATGATTCTTACTTCTTCTTGCCCAAGTAAGTTTTTTGTCTGAAAGTTAACTAAGAATTATTCCAAAATATTTGAGCTGATATTTCCATATAGCATTAGTTTTGTGCTCATTTTATTGTTGGGTTGAATAATTACATCACACACAAAAAAATTTGCATTGAGACCAATTTCTCACATAACTTTTAATGGTATAAATCATAAAAAAAATATACCTGATCATGCCTAGTAGTAAGTACTAAGATTTTGAAGATTAACTACAAGTAAAACTAGAATATTAGGAAAAAAGAGAACATACTTCAATCAAAATAAATAGAGCAAACATCACTCCACTAGCCAGGTAGAGAAGTTCACCCTCCATGAGCAGCCCAGGAACATACACTATAATCACCATAATGTGAAAAAACTTTCTTGTAATGGTTGAAACCTTTCCATGCCAACTTCCCACAAAAAGAGCAGAACTAATTAAAGATAGGGCCCAGAAAATTATCAAGCTTACCTGCAAATAATAAAAAATAAATTCATGTGTTTATTTAAAATTACTGTAATGAAAGAAAACATAATATTACACACACATATATATATATATATATATATATATATATATATATATATTACTTAACTTAACTAAGTAGTAGTACACAGTAGTATATAGTTACGTCCGTTCCTACG